CACGCTCTGACGTTCAGAATTATGATAATTACTATAGCAGAGGACTTCGGACAAGATGCGTCCAACTAAGTCGCCCTGACAACGCGACCAAGTTGCGTAAACGAAAGCAATCTACTTCTATACATTGAAATGAGACTGCGATCATACAAAACACTACCACCAATCTTGATCTTCAAATTTTTGCTTTTTTCATTATTATAGGCCGCTCGCATTGTCGGTTTCCCCGGAGTGATAACAGCCTTAGGCAATATAAGACTTTACGCCACCATGAATGTGGCGTGCCTTAGCAAAGCCTCTCTCAATTCCGCTGTCAATGCCGCATCGATGTCGTCTAAAGCCTTTACCTTATCTAGTGAGCGAAAGAATATTCCAGCGATATCGTGCAAATCCGCGCGATATCAAAATTCCAACCCAACAAATATGCAGAAATCCTCTAGATATGCAAAATTTTCATCAGAGTCAAGTAGAATGCGATCTGGAGCTGCAATAAATCTACCTTCAAAAGATTCTAGTATATCATCCAAGCAGTTACTTCTTACTTCTAGTCATTTATCTTACGAAGTTGACATTACCGCCCTTGCCGAATCAGCTGAGAATCAAGACTCTACCGAAAGAGATGGACATTTAGATGAGGCCGATGAAGAGGAAGCAGGTACCTAAGCTTATATTTTAACTACTATTTCGATTGTTCATTCAATTTTGGCATTTTATTTTACCCATAAGTTAGAATTTTGTTTTGTTTCACTTTTTTTCTATTTCTAAAAGTGTAAGTATGCTATAGTGTGATCTCATTACTTATAATTAATATATTTAACTAGCTCAGCTTGTCTTGCCAGATTCATTAACATATATTGTCAATCGTAATTTATCGCTACTTCCAACCATGAGTCAATTCGCTTTGCTTATCCGATAATATTTAGCTCCTGAATGATCTCCGATCTCTGCTATTTTTAATCCAGCAGAATCCCTCGATGAACTTAATAGTTGTCTTAAAATGTCAATTAGCTACTTTATCTGCATTTATTTATTATTTTTTATAGTACACTAAATATTTCTTTTAATGTTGCATTCATATGTCTAGCTCATAATGCTTTTTATCCATACTCCGTTCTTCGATTTTGGATTTTCTCGAATGTGTTTAGAATTGATTAGATACTTATCCTTACTACAAACCTATATTTACACCATGTTTCCCGTAACCTCATAGTGCATATAGTCTAATCGTATGCATTTTTGTCCTAATTATTTTATTTTGCATAGTACTAGAGGCATTCATTTCATAATTGCATGTTATCAACTTTATATTATATTTCTTACTTTTATCCTTCACACTTCCAAGCTGCCCTGGCTGAGGCATCTGCTGCCATTCTTGCCGCAAAGCCTCTTTTTTGCGAGCGCCTACTCTTTCTCTTCGATCAGGCCCTAATTATAGCAGAAGATGAGACCAAGGTGGGCCAGACTCCTGTGTCTTTGGATCACCTAATATCTCTCCCCTACCTGCGATCAGTCCAATCCAAGCTCTCTGGAGTGGCTGGCCTTCTTGCATTCAGTTCTCCGGGAATTTCTCCGCTCTCTAGTCCTAATGCTCTCTCGCCAACTACAGATTTGGGGCCTGGCTACCTGGCCGGAATCCCGACCAGCCTGGCCGATGATTCACCGGTGCCACAATCAAGCCAGCCTGTCCAGTCTTCGAATTCTACCTCCTCTGCAGGTCGTTTTTTTTTGCCTTTGCATATTGTTTCAATCAGAGCATTAACTAAACCCAGGAAGATAAGAGACGGATCCCACGAGGCAAGATATAGACTGTGATATGACCTATGGGAAGAAGATTTCGTACCAATAGGGCAGACTCAGCTCAACATTCCCAGCAAAAGAGTGGAGGGGGATTGGAAAAGCCAGCGGACACTATAAATAGCTCTCATAAACTCCGCTCAAAAGGGCACACCAAAACCAGGTTTAAATAAGCAAGTAAGATATAATGATAGTGAATGGGTGATATGAGGATATAGGATAGGTGAATAGTCCATGGCAGAAGAGATACTACAACTGCTTAACGAACAATTGGTCAAAGGATCGACTTCATTTGTCGCTTTGACGAGTTATAGTATGGTGTTAAGAACGTAAAGGCCCACTGAAGATGCCGGCTAAGCAACTGGGAATGTACCAAGTGCATGGTCCGACTACGGACTTCAGACAAGGTGTGTTCCTCTAGGTAAATATGACCAGGTTGCGGAAATAAGGCCAAACAACTACTGTACAAAGAAATGAGACAGCGACCATACTATAGTCCACATTTTGCATTAAAAATTTTTATTATCCAATTTTGCTTTAATTTCCTTAATAAGACACTCCTTTGGTAGGCAGGCTCAGATGCCTTTCATCAAAAGGATTTTTATATGAACAAAATTTAAGCTACGATAGTATTTTTAAGGCTATAAAGTTGTTTTGAGCCTCAATTTAGCTAAGCTTTAGCCCCATAACTTTTTT